TTCCAACACAAGGGAAAAAGTTTTCAATCTGCCTCAAATTTATTAAAGTATGGAGCGGTTTTCAACTTGAAAAAGATGATGCCTTGGCTATTGGGGAGTAGCGTGCAGACTTGTACCGCTTTGGTTCGGCTGTTCTGGCCTGGCGATATCAATTACCGTACATGCGTGTCGAAAGGAAAGTCATCTACGCTCTTTTGTGAGATCAAGTTTATAAGCAACATTGAGAATAAATTCCGAGGACTAGGATAGAGCGATCAGAGTGTGAAAGATGTGGGGATTGAACATTTCATCGATGTGCACTGGTGATAGTGTTGTCGGTGACTAAGAAGAATGGCTTGTCAAGAAAAGGATTGAGAACACCAGTCTTTTCCATATTTATAGAAATTTCTCATCAAGCAAACGAAGAATCATTCTATGGTAACAAAACCCTCCGTAGTCAGTGAATGCTTTTCAATGGCATCATGGAAGCTCCCATCCGAGCTGCAAGCACTCTCCGGATCTTGAAACTCATCGAAGCCTGAATTAGATTGAGACGGGCAGCAAGACAGGAATCCAGAGTCAGCAAATGCTGGATAGCCTTCCTTTCTCAGCTCTGGCACTTGGTTAACAACACTTAGTAGTTCATCAAAAGCCAGTGCCAATTTTTCCGTAAAATCCGGACGCTGCTTTAGGTGATTCCCAAAATCGCCAAGCGTATATTGTTTATCGTACTTCCTTCGGAAATAATCCGTCGCCGCGAGAATTTGGAGCGTGGCAGGATCAGCATATAATGCTGCGATCTGGAGAAGGTTGGGGCCCTTCATGCGGGGGCAAATCGAGTACTCGTGCCATCGACCAAGGAGCAATCGTAGGACATGATGACTGTTGTAGATAATTGCAGTGGTCAAGGGAGTTGATCCGTCACCTGACACTGAGTTGATGTTGGCGCCGCATTCCAATAAAAGCATGGCATGCCCAGCATTATCAATCCTTGCCGCATGAATTAGGCTGGTTTTCCCGTCATTCCCACTTGAATTTACATCTGCGCCAAAATCAAGCAGAGACTTCAGAAGCAAAGTATCGGTGGCGTTTCGGGTAGCGCAATTGAGTGGACTGCCTTTCCTTTCACCACTGGGGTGACACAAGTCTGGACGTGCCCCCGCCTCTAGAAGTAGGCGAACGGCGAGTGTGTGCCCTTGAGAAGCAGCATTTGAGAGAGGACCGGACAATTGGATATCGACGATGTTCGGATCGGCGCCGTGACTAAGGAGCGTGACAATGGCTCGCGTATCCCCTCGAGCGGCTGCCCAGGCTAACGCAGTGCGACCCATGGCATCGACGGCGTTGATATCCTGCGGACTGTGATTTATCTCATCCTCGAGGCTCAACATCAATAAACCGAGAACAATCTTATGAGTTCTCGTATATCTTGCTTCGTCTATGAAATCTTCTAGATAACTGTTTTTGGCGATGATGCGGAGGGCACCAACAGCGGCCTCGGAAATTCCTCCTTCAAGAAGAAAATGGCATGCTTTATTTCTTGGACTATTGTCACTCGCAGAGATTGGCCTGTAGTCGGCGTCTGCACCTGCATGAATCAAGAATTCGCATGTTTCGTATTGTTTGCCATAGAGGGCCCACCGAAGAACGGAATACCCGCGACTGGTGCTGACATCATTGGGAGAAGCCAATCCTCTACTGAAGAGATATTTCAGACCGTCAACGTTTCCGTTCAATGCGAAGCTGACGCACTGTGCGGTGTCAGGTACTCTGCGTAGTGTATCGAGGTGTTCCAACACTAGGCTGGTATCCAACTTGGAGTCGCACAATTTCAGATGACAGAAATATGAAGGGAAACCAGTATTCAAGACTGACTTGCTTTGCCGACGATTTGTTGCATGCTAGTGAGTTGCACTTCGGGCTGAGATAGGGAAGTCCAGCATAGCCAACGAAAAGCTGACCCAAAACACGACTGACGAGTGCGGGACTTGTTGCCTTCTGATACGAATGATAAGAACACTGGCAACCCGAGCGGTAGTTGAATGAAAACGGCGTGACTCGAAATCCTATCTCTTCAGAACTTGTTTTCGCCGGGGGCGAGTTCGTTTGAACCGAGGATGAATGTAGCGGCCGAGGAGTGGACAAGTGGTACGACGATCCAATTTGCGTAAATTGACTTGCTTTTAATTGGTGTGACTGAATTAGTAACATCTCCTCAACCCTGGCTATACGCTGATCGACTGCAGCAATTCCATTCAGGAAGTTGGTTTCTAGAGCAATCTGCTGTGGCGAAGATTCAAATGTGACAGCCGAGATGGCCGCAATGTCCAAACGGATCTTTCTCATTTCATGTCTAGTTGAAACCTTGTCATTAGCTTTCGAAACGTTGGATTAAAAGCTTCAGAATTTAATCCGGTCGGCATACGAGTTCAATGCGCCAAGTATAATATTTAAATTGGTCTTGACCGTCCGAATTTCTTCTTGAAGAACCTGTAGTCGGCTTTGTTCTTTTCGCCAAGCATGTGCCCTGGAAATCAACATTTTTGAAGCGCGACAGCCCACGGTTCGCTGAGAAACACTGTCTTTGATTTCAAGTAGTTTTGATATCGCTTGCTTCAGAAGATAGGGGATAGCTGAAAAGCTGGATTCGAGTACGAATGCTCGGCTTCTGATAAGCAAGTAGACCTGAAGAAGCACAAGGCTGAGATCCGCGACTTCATTGCTGACTGCGTGGAGACGCCCTGGCAAGCTTCCACAAAGCTCCCGTTGGTCTGAAAGAGCGGAGCAGATTTTAGTGGCAAGTGTTGCGATAGCGATCACGCTAGCTCCGATTGATATTGGATCCATATCCGAATATCAGCTTTCAACGTTGTATCCAAGAGTGAACAGAATTTTTGTAGAATAACTTTCAAATGTGTCCCCATAAATGTGGGATTATGGTGTTGTTTCCTGGTTTAACCAGGCAGATACCGAGCGAGAAAGGTCTCTGTTGGGACTTTTGCCTTCAATACTAATTTCATGATCTCAAGGACAGGGGTCTTGATTGGATCTTTGTTGTGACTTCGGCGCATGATGGCTCGATGTTTCACACCTGGAGGCCTCCCGAGCAAGCCGGTCTGAAATATTTTTGATTCAAGGACTGAGACTCCATCCAGCCTTTCCATTTTCAAGACCAGTAATTCTTCATTATTTAAAGTGTCATTTTTTGGAAGAGTCAAATTCATAGGATAATCTAAAAGTGAGGTTGTCGGGGATAACTCAGATCCCGTGGACACGCCTCCCCATCAGCACAGAGACAGGGCCCGCTTTCCCCGCTTGGTCATCTCAGGGGAGCCGGCCCATGAGCGAAGGGCGAACAACCCGTGGACTTGGACATGCGAGCCTCACCTTGACACGTAAGGCTCAGGAACAGGAACAGAGTTTCGACATAACATCTTGACCTAGAGCGATCGTCTTTAAGTTCCAACATGTGCTTCGGTCGGGATTTCCATCAGTATACGGTTCCAGAATGGACATCACTTTACATTCCCTACGACTTTTTGAAGAGTGCAGTCAATCTCGCGGTCGGGCAATCATTGAATGCAAAAGGTTGAACTAGACTTTTCAAGTTTGTGACTGCCTTTGTCTCCGTTAGACAATCTCTAACAAAGACGATAGAAGTGCTCACCCTCCTCGACAATAGTATCCAGTCCTTCGGCAAATTCCACCATGAGAAATGCAACTTTCTCATGGCAAGACAAGCAATGCTTGAGATAAATTATAAAAAGCTGCACCGAGCAATCCTCTTCTCACAGGAGGGGGGGAGTGATTTTGATGATTTTAGAAAGCTTCAGAATTATTCTCGGGTGAACAAAGAAGCTATCCACAGACTTCTCGCCAAAATCGAGAAGCTAGCTGGTTGCAAAGGCGTGAAATGTCAGCAACTAAAACTGATGTGGACAAATTTGCAAATTGATTGTTGTAGGCAACGTGCGAACTTGTTGGATGCCTCAGGCATCACATGTAGGATAGACCAACCAACTAGATAGTCTTCCTTCCACTCTCACCTTCTCTCTCTCCCCGTCCATCCAATTGAATACTGTTTTACCTGCATACATACTATCATTGTATTTGCATCAGAACTTCATGAGCCGATGGAACGTTCTGGTGAATAGCGTCGTTGAAGCGTGCTCGAGTGAGCACGATCCCGCCAAAATAAGGGATTTGCTCAAGGGATTCAGATCAGATGGACTGTCACCTCTCGCTACCCAATATTCAGCTCTATATCGTGCAATCAGAAACGACGAGCCGTGCGGTTTGGCCGATCCGCTGAATCTTCTTGTTGCACAATCCTCCTCCAGTGCAAGAGAGAGCTCAAGATCTTCGTTTACGGACTGGCGGAGTTTACAGCAACGTGCCACTCACGACTTTGCTTTCAATATTTATTATCTCAAACCTTCGGCGGGAATGGTATCGTGCTAGAACAAGATTCGCTGAACCATGTCATTATCATGGAACGGCAGTGCCGCCTTTCACAGGTAAAAAATCACTTGAGCGTTGAATCTGGCGAGAAGAGACATGGTAGCTTGTTCGACTTTGCGATTGAACATTTTGCTTCTCGCAAAGATAGTTTACCTGCGAAAGACACGTTTGGTCGTGACCGCCCTTTGTGTTGCCGCACAGATTGGTCGTAGCGACTATGATGATGATGAT